ACTGATTACTAGAGCTAGTGTGACTCTGGAGGAATCAAAATCAGCTGTTTTATATAATCCTTCAGCTTGTTTGTTACATCCTGTAAAGACAAGAAAAAGGAAATCATTTATACTTTCTAAAAAGGAGCAAGAATTAACAAACTTTCATAAGCTTGAGTACATAACCTTTCTTGTAACTCTTTATATTGTAGGACCTTTTAATGCTACCTCATATTTCTTCTAAACTTTTACACTCTGTACTTTCTAATTTTAAGATATTGTCTCTTCATTTTCCAGTTACTTACCGACATAAGTATCACCTCTTTGTCTTCATGCAACCTGTATGTGGTGCCACTACGATTATAATATTTGTCCAGCTTGAGGTTTAGTGTCCAGAGAGTCTGGATCATACATGCCTGCATGTCAGTATCTTCTAGCAGCATGTCTTTGCAGTCACTCTAAAAAAGAATTCATATTTAGATTATTTGATTAGTATAAGAGTACAAGGAGATCAATTATATCAACCTCCTCTGCCCCAGCTTAAATATGATCTTTTATTTATTTCTCTCGCTCTGTACATAGCACTGACTGCCTCCTTATCCTCCATATTGTTTTACATTTCCCTTTGACAAAAGTGCTGTGCAGCACATACATCATCTTATAACAATAAGCCAGGTGAAAGAATACAGGCCTTCCTATACTTAAATACTTGTGAAGACTTGTGGAATCTCTTTTGTTGAATGGAAGACATAAAATTACTAGTAAATACACTGTGAAAATGTGAGAAAGAGAAAGTATTTGCCAATTACAAATATATGTTGCTCTTAGATCACCTAAATTTTTTTTATTTTTTATCACACCGAATGGAACACATATTAAATGACAAAAGAAAACTGTAAAGCCAGATGAGCCATCCACATGAATGTGTCTTGTGATTTTTTTAAATTAAATTTCAAACACATAAACCAACTTATTCTTATATTTACATTATGATAGAGGGTACTGATAAATGCCAATCAGTACTTCTGTTATTCAACATACTTAAAATTCATCTGTTTTTACCTGGTGTAGTAGCTTTATTTCATCTAAAATTGGTCTTGGATCTTCATGCATGTCAACCTCTACTTCAGCCTCTGCTGTTTGCGGTTTCTGAGGAAGAGGAGGTGGTGGAGGAGGAGGAAGTGGGATCTGTTCTGGAACAGCATCTGCTTTATCAAAAGGACTCTCTGCTTTTCTGTCTTTGGAGTGGACCCTCGAGGCATGGCCAGTGGAAGTTCTGGATTCTTCTGGACTGATCGATGAACTTCTAGAAGTGGAACTAGTGGATCGAGATCTAGATCGTCGACTACGTGAGGGACTTCTAGAGCAGCGACTGCGTGAATGACTTCTAGAGTCTCGGTCTCTGGACAAACTTCTTGATCTACGACTGTGTGAACGACTTCTAGATCGATGCCTCCGTGACTGGCTGCTGGACTGGTTAGGACTGCTAATATGGAAACAAATAAAGTGGATCATACAGTATCTCTGTAACTTTATATAAAATGTTACTTGATCAACACTTTCCAAATATTATCCAACAAAAATGCTAAAAATCATTTGTTATATATTTCTTTTTGTTTGGCAGAATACATAATGCATAAGTCTAAACAGAGAAGTACTCTGGTATTTTTATGCTTTATACTTTAAAGCCTACTGGTATCAGTTGGTGGAGTGCAGCATAAAAGCTTACTAGCACTGATAGAGGAGGAGATATAGAAAATGGGGGAAAACTATTTCTAATGTGGTTTGACTGTGTGGCTTTGACTCCCTTCAAGATCATCTAATTATGATTTGGCAAAAAAAAATCCTATTTTCCCCCCACAACACAAACACTGACTTTTTAATTATTTCTTTTAAATTGATTTCTAGTGCTCTAGCATCCTAAACCCCCCATTATTGCATCATGTCTCACACTGGACTTTCTTGTCTTCTCCACCACTGCCTCTCACAAAAACTAATCCTACACCCACACCACTCTTTGAATATGTATCTTGAAATTTGTCTTAACACTGACTGGTGAGAAGTTTATATTCTAAACATGAGATACAGAAATTTGGTGAAGAGAATCATTCCCTATCCTCCTAACTACCCAATGTTAGGGTCACCCTCACCCCCCCCCCCCCAAAAAAAAAAAAAAAAAAAAAAAAAAAAAATCTGAATGAACACTATGACATGACAATGATAATGGTGTGAGAAAGTGCTGTGAACTCGACCTAACATTAGTATACCTGCTCACTGTATATTATGTATGATCAAGTATCCTAAGTCCTTAATAAATTCCATGGTAATGTCAATGGTGTCTGACAGTGGTTTTGAAATGCTTAATAGTTTAATATTTCATGTTACCGCCACCTGCTTGGCGAATGTTGGCAAGTCTATGTCGAATGGATGCCACTAAGGCCTTGTTTAAACGAGCAATTTTAGTGGCCCAACTGCTCAAAGCACGACTACTGACTGAATGTTCACACACGGCCCGACTCGT